ACTGGGGGATTCTAGGCAGGGGCTCTACCACTGAGCCACACCCCAGCCCCTCACTGGGGGATTCTAGGCAGGGGCTCTACCACTGAGCCACACCCCAGCCCCTCACTGGGGTTTCTGGGCAGGGGCTCTACTCTGAGCCACGTTCCTCACCTGAATATGAGCGTTCTGACTGCAGCCTCAGTCACACACCGTGTTCCACAGTAACATTCCAATGTCATTCTGCACCTGTTTCTTCTGACACAGACTATAATTTTGCTCAAAAATGATCTGATTCCACAGTGGATAATGTGCATTGCTTCATTGCTGTAAAGAGATACAGACGACTGAGGTGACTTTCAGAAAAAGAAGCATTTAATTTGGGGTTGCTTGCAGTTTCAGAGGTTTAGTCCTTTATCCTCATGGTGGGTAGCATGGCAGCATGCAGGCACACATGTTAGCTGAGAGCTGTAGAGTCTGGTTTGGAAAGCAGCGGAAGAAAGACACTGGGCTTTTGAAACCCCAAAGCTCACTTCCAGTGACACACTCTGTCTAACAAGGCCACACCGCCTTTAACAGAGGCATGCCTCCTAATCCCTTTCCAGTGGCACTGTTTCTTAATGACCAAGCACTCAGACAAATGAGCCTCTGGGGCTGTTCTTACTCAAACCACCACACAGTCCAAGCTGGCTTCGAACTCACTATACAGTCAAGGCTGTCGTTAAAGCTCTATGATCTGTTTCCATCTTCCAAGTGCTGAGTTTACGGACTGGAGCCAGTATGTGCAGTCAAACACATTTTAAGGAAAGCTGCAGCAAGACACAGGTGGCAGTATAAGTTTGTAAGCCTAGTACTCAGGAAGGTGAGGCAGGAAGACTATAAAAGTCCTAAAGCTGGGCTTGGCTACTTTTGAGACTGTGTCTCCGTAAATGAGAGGGGAGGAGAGAAAGCAAGAAGAGAGGCGGAGGAGAAGAAGAAAGAGATGTGGAGCCTCTGCTCTGGCTGGAGTATGACTTAGTGCTGCACAGCAGGGTTCCCCGAAGCCTGGGGTTCATTGGAAATGTGACCCTTTGCAGCGTGGGGTACGGGCAGGGGATTTAAAGGAAGCACATTTCCCTGCTAACCTAGATCTAAAATGAATGCCTTTTTCCATTTTTATTTTTAGCAGCTGGCCTACATATGTAGTGTTGAAGCGGAGGCCAGAAAGGTTTCTTTTCGCTGCGTGGCAGTAGGGAGTGGGGTATAGTTTAAAAAGGTGACCGTGGTTTTCTCACAGAAAATGCCCACTGTCTTCTGTTTTCCTTCCTCTCTGGGGGCTGGGGAAGGGAAACTGTGTGCTGGATTCAGGGGCCTGCTGCATTTATAAGCATTTAAAGATAAACTCAGCATCAGAATTAACTATCTTTTCCCTAAAATAGTGGCAGGTGTGTCCCTTCTGTGTACCAGAACTTCAGTGCTGGTCACAGTGGCTCAAGCTTGCAAACCCAGCATCCAGGAAGCTGAGGCAGGAGGACTGCTGTAGGACTAGCCACCGCTACCCAGGGTGTGTCCTAGATTCATTTCTGTTGCTGTGATAAAATACCTTACCAAAAGCAATTTAGGGGAGAGAGGGAGTTCTAGGCTAGTGCTTCTCACAGAGAAGTCACATTGGCAGGAGCTTGTGACAGCTGGTCATGTCACATACACACTCAAAGGCAGAGAGAGAGCGTGAATGTGTTTGTGCTTAGCACTCAGCTGGCCTTCTCTACTCTTACGTAGCCCAAGATCCAAAACTAGGGAATGGTGCCGCCTGCTTTTAGGCTGTCTCTTCCCACATCTGTTAAGGCAGTGAAGACAATCCCCCACAGACATGGACACAATCCAGCTTGACCTAGACAATCCCTCACTGAGACTCTCTTCCCGGATTATTCTAATTATTTAGGTTGACAATTGAAGCTAACTGTGAGTTCAAACTCAACCTGGAATAGATACTGAGGCCTTGTCTCAAAACCAAACCAAACCCCAAGAAGCTGGAGAGATGTCTTAGTCGTTAAAATGCTTGCAATGCAAGCGTGAGGACCAGAGTTTGGAACCCAGCACCCACATAAATGCTAGGTGGGTGTGGGAACCTGCCTATATTGAAATCTCTGAAAGCTGACATGAGATCCCAGAGCAACCTAGCAAGGGAGAGACTAGTCATATCAGTGAGCTCTGGATTCAACTAAGAGACCTTGACTCACTAAATAAGGTGGAAAAGCGATGGAAAGCGATCCCTGACACCAACTTTGGACCTCCACATGCATGTATACCTAAGCAAACACAGCTCCCAGGCCTTGCCTGCTTTGAGGCAGTTGCTCCTGAGTGGAACAATCCTGCTTCCTTTGCTGAGTATGTAAAGTATGCAGTAGTTGTGCAACTCGGGTATGTGGTGCTTGATTCCATTGTTTGTAAACACACGCACACACACACGAACAAATACATACACTTAGTCTTGCTCTTTTGTAAAGAAAGTAACTTCTCTCTTAAAAAAATATTGACTTAATATTTAGTACCTACTGTTTATATTACAGAGTCAGTGCGGTTTTCAAAGTGCATCTCCCAAGAAAAAAATTAAATAGGAGTCAGATGTATTTTATTTTATATTTCTGTGCTGAGAATGTAACCCAGGGCCTGACACAGGCTAGGCAGGGGCTCTACCACTGAGCCACACCCCAGCCCCTCACTGGGGGATTCTAGGCAGAGGCTCTACCACTGAGCCACACCCCAGCGCCTCACTGGGGGATTCTAGGCAGGTGCTCTACTGCTAAGTTCCATCTTCAGACTTCTTTTTACTTTTTATTTTGAGATACAAATCTCACGAAGTTATAGAGTGCTCTTGAGTACACTCTGTGTCCTAGGTGTGCCTTGAGTGTAACACTCCTGCCTTAACCTCCTGAGTAGCTGGGATGGAGACCTGTGCTACCACAAGCTGCTTACATACAGAGTACATCTTGGATAGAACCTAATGGTGAGAGGTGCCAGCCCCTGTGTTGAAGATCAGATCTGGCACTTCAGCATTTTGTGGTTTCTGCTGCAGTATTATCTGTCACCTCTGAGGAGCATAGTATCTGATCACCTCAGGGATCTGAGAGTTGGGCTTCCTAAGAAAGCATCCAAGGATTCCATGGTAGTGAAGGGTAGCCTGTGAACCCTTGTGTCTTCCTGCAGAGTCCCTGGAGAAGTGGGAACGCCTGACTGTCGCTGATGCCCTGGAGCCCGTGCAGTTTGAAGACGGAGAGAAAATCGTTGTGCAGGGGGAGCCTGGGGATGACTTCTACATCATCACAGAGGTGAGCCCTATGCAGGCTGTTGATGCCAGTGGGCTCTGGGTGGACCTGAGTGGAAGCCAGCACGGCTTTGGTTTGTTCTCTGCCCCCCTTAGCACCATTTCACCCCACATCCTCCACATCACCCCCCAAGAATCTCTGTGGGAGAGTTGGCACGATAACCTCACACCCATGCCACGGGGTTGTCTGTTGTTGAGAACAAAAGTCTCTCCTGAAAAAACGATGGCAGGTATGATGGCGTTGCATAACATATATACACATAAACACAAACATATGCTGCATATGCACATAAGCATGCAAATACACACACACACACACACACATACACACAGACACAAACACACAGAAAAACATATACATACACACAAAGGTACATACACACAAACACATATATACACACATATATACATAAACACATACATACACAAACACACAGAAACATACACAAACACAAACAACACACATATGCACATATACACATATACTCACAAGCATACACACACACAGAGACACACAAATATACACAAACATACATATACATACAAACACATATACTCACACAAACATATACACACATACAGACGCATACACATACACTCACAAGCGTACACATATACACATACAGACATACATACACAAACATACATACACATTCACGAGCATATACGTATACACTAACATACATACATACTAACACACACAGAAGTACATGAATGTAATAATACATGCAAAGAGGAGAGACTACTAGAACCATGGGTAAGGCAAATAGTTGTTCTCATCAAGACTAGAATGAGCCCACTTCCTCCATCCCAGTACCTCAATCTTCAAGATTCAGGCCTGTGTGCAGGCCAAGGCCAGAGCCTTTGAACTACTATGCGCGCGCGCGCGCGTGTGTGTGTGTGTGTGTGTGTGTGTGTTGGTGGGGTTGGTGCCACACAGACCTCTAACCCAAGAGGCCATCCCTGACCATTTTAGAAAGAAAGGTACAATCATGTCAGGGGCATCTATTTGACAAATCATCCAGTAGAACAAGGTTAGCTCACAGGCTTCGAGGACTGGGATGATGGCTGACACCACGGTGGAGCTATACAGAACTTCTAGCATGCCTGTCACAAGGGCATCTGCCCCTAGCCTTACCCTCCTCTCCTGTCTGTAGTACTGAAAGTCCTTTGTTCTGAATCTTTCTGAATCATATGTTTGGTCATGAACATGGCCTCCGTGCGATACTCTTCTCAGCGTCTGTAGGACTCCATCTTCAAAGTGAGAAGTGAAGGTATGCTGGGCGTGATGGTACCCGCCTACAATCCCACTGTTTGGGAGACTGAAGCAGGAGGATTGGGAGTTCTAGGTCAACCTGGGCTATGTGGCCTTGTCTCAGTGAGGGGGAAAAAGGGGGAAGAGAAGAATCCCAATGAAGTCATGCAGCCCCATCGACCCTCTTGTCTCTACTTCCTCAATCCTGGGTTTACAAGGATATGCTGCTACACCCTTTACTGTCGGTGCCGAGGATCAAACTCAGGTCCTCACGCTTGGACCATAAGCACTTTGTCAGCTAAGGTGTCTTTCCCCATCCTCTCTTTGGCTTTTTGAGACAGAGCCTCTCACACTCTGTAGATTGGTGGTTTGGCCTTGAATTGGAAGCGGCTGCCTGCCTTAGCACCCCACCCCCCACCCCCACCCCCACCCCCGAGTTCGAGAATAACAGGCCATGGCCCACTCTGCTTTGTGTAGCTCATGTGGCCCTCCCTCTCTTCATGCCTCTCTGGTGAAAGTGTGAGATTTGACCTCAGGGTTCCTCTTGATCTTTCAGAAGGATCTGCTGTTTGAGGACAGTCTATGGTCTGCCGGTTACCTTGGGGGAATCTCAAGCAGTGGGGCTGGGCTGGGACCAGCTTCTTCTTAAGTCCCCAGTGTCATCAATGCAGAAAAGTTTCTAAGAAGGTGCCTGCCCAGGGCAGCCTCAACATCAGTCAGCTTGGGCCTTCATTGACTGGAGATGAGGGAGAGGTTGAACCTCATTCACATGAACAGCATGTTGTCTGGGCCTCTGGGATGTAACCCAACCCCAGGGGAACGTATACTTTCCACAACCTTATAAAATGTGTTTGAAGTGGTCTCCTTGGCAACGTGGCTTTTTTTTTTTTTTAATACCCTTCTTTCTCTGTGACCAGCTGAATCTGGAAAGTCAACCCACAGACCCCAGGTCCACAGGGACCAGCATGCACCACGGGGGACTATGCAGTGTATTCACATGGCTTGGGGGAGGCTGTGGCCACATCTGAGCCAGATGTGCATGGCGGGTCAAACCCAGCTCCCTGTGGGATGTGGGCAGGCACGCTCAGCGGCCATGTCTGATGCCATCATGTCTGAGCTCCTTTCCTTGAGGTGTGAAGTCGCCTGAGTCTCTCAGTCCTGGGCTGCCCCGCCCCTCCTGTCTCACAGCCACGCCGTGTGTACTAGTTATCGCATTTTTCTAGTGTGGATTTTCTGAACTTGTTTTGTAAACTGTGTTCTTGTCAGCTTGAGGAGGACACTGGCAATCCTGGGAAGCCTAGCTACTAAGCCCACATCTCTATTCCCTGTTCCCTGCCCTTCCCCTCTCCCCGCCCCCTATAGAAGGCTATCTACCTGTCCCTGACCCCCAGTGCTCAGGGACATACATGCAGGCTGCTTGTGTGTGCCTAGCTCCTGCTATGCCAACAAGATGTGATTGTTTCTGGTACTGATTTCCACACCACTTATGGGGATATCCAGAAAGGGATTAATACCATTGGCTCCTGAGAGCCTCATTACCACAATCAGAACAGGCAGATTAAAGAGCTGGTGCCAGTTTCAGGCAGATTAAAGAGCTGGTGCCAGTTTCTGTGCTTCGTAGTAGTCTCTGCAGGGCTGCAGGGCTGCACTCTCTGAGGCCAAGTAGCTTGTTTCTCCTTGCTGTAGTCACAGCTGCTGTCCCTGAGCAGGGTGGGGAAGCTGCCAGCCTCTCAGACAGCTGATCTGCAGAGCTTCTAGAAAACTCTCAGCAGACAGGGGAGGAGCTGGTCGTGCCTCCTGCAGGCACCCCCACTGATGGGAGCCAAGCCCCTAGGACACAAATGTGGAAGTCACAGATTGGGTGGTGCAGGGTCCTTGCTACTGTCTGAGCTCACTCCCTACTGTGTCACCTTCCTGCCTCTGTTCCCCTGGGGTGACCTACCCTGGGCCAGGAGCCCTTGAGATGGGACAAAGCCTCTGCTAGGTCTGGGTCCTGTGCAGGACATAGCTTTTGGCTGGCCTCCTAGTAGGGGGTACCCTGGGCCTGGGCTGGGCCTGCCAGGACCTGCAGGCATGGATGACCTCATCTGGATCCAAGGTCTCCCACAGCTCTCCAGGAAAACCCAAAAGGAGACCGAGGGCTGGGTGGGAGAAATGATTTCTCAGCAGCTCGAATTCCAGACCCACATTCCTCAATTGGAGCTGCCCCCACCCCCACCCCACCCGCTGCCCCATTCCTGGGCCCTGATTGAGCGGCCAGGGAAGCAGCTGGACCAGGAAGGATGGCTTCCCATAAAATCCCAAGACTGAAATTGGGCAGCATGGGAGGTGTTGCCATGGGAACACAGCATTGGATTTATCTCCTCGCTTAGCAAATTAATTTTATGAATGTCCACAGTGTTGAAGGAACTGCAAAACAACACATTTCTCGGCTGCCCCCAGGCCCAGGAACATATCCCTAACAGCAGAGTGCCTGGCTCCCTGCTGGGGCATAGAGATCACCTTTGCAGGAAGAAGGCCAGACATACACTTTGTGTCCCTCGGGGTACCTGGATGCAGTGTAGACTAACTCAGGGTTAGTCTGGACCTGTGCCAGCCCTACCGAGCTGTGGCTCCCCGGGGTGTGTTTATGGCTCAAACTCACTGTCCTTTCTCATTGTCACCTCTATTCTCCTGGCTCCTTGAGCTGTTTTTGATGTCATTCAGTTGGTCCCTATGCTCCTCTCTTTGAGAATAGCGCCTGGAGAAGGTTTAGGGGCCTGCAGGAGCTGTGTGGAGCCATGCTTCAGATATTTCTCTAGAGTTAGCTCCCTTGGCTGTAGGCATGGCAAACTCCAGGGAACCCTACTTCTGGAAGGGGTTCTAAGGGAGCCAGACTGTGTTAGAAGGACTCAAGGGAAGTGGGGCAGGGTTTTGGAAAGGACACTGAATGCCTGGAGCCCAAAACATCTCAGACGTGCAGACCGGAGGTACATCTGCGGAGTGAGGGCCTTAGGTCCCTGGTCTGTGCTGGAACTAGCTGGGAAGAGGGACTGCAGGGAAGACTCAGGCAGTTGTTGGAGGCCTGCTAGCCAGGGTCTTCCAGGTAGTTTTATTCAGGATTTGAGGTGGCCATTAGAGTGTGTGACACTTGCCAAAAGAAATCACACAGGGCCATCTATACAGAATAAATTGAACAAGGGATCATGGCGGAAGCAAGGTAGTCAGAAAGGCAAGAGGCTGACTCCAGGTGACAGATGGGCTACACTCCTGAGAAAAAGCCACCAACAGATGTGGAAGAAGAGGGCAGGAAGGGAATGTTGGAGTGAAGGAAGGTGTTGAAGTTCAGGTGAACGTTTTTGAGGTAGGAAAGGTGTCGTATACATAGTTCATGCTTTAGGTACCAGTTGTGTTTGAGCTCCTGATACTGGACCATGTAGTAGAGAGGACACAGAGGACACTTGAGAAAGATTCTGAATGGTCCCCACTCTAATGTTTGATGTTCACATTGCTGGGTGCATCCGCCATGGGGAGCACACGAGGGGAGCACACGAGGTTGGAAGTGTGTGCTGTTGTAAGACTGTTGTTGGGTGCATGTGCCATGCACATTCTATGCTACATGTGACAGCAGTGCATGTTGCCTGGATGACTCAAACTCCTCTCATGAGTAAACAGGAGTTATCCATTGCCTTAGGCTCCCAAGGGGCCTCTGAACACCCATCTGAAACGTAAAGGCTTTATATCTGTCCCTGTCTTGGGGATACGCTGGG